GCTAAGAACATGACTCGATCATGTGACTAGCAGACTCAAGGCATCTGGGCAGGGGAAACCATTTCCATCCAGACCTCTCTGCTAGTTTTCTCCTTTATGAGCTGGGTTGACCTAAACTCTAATGGAGGGGATCAAGTGCCAGGGGTTTCCTCCACCAGATTTGATTCTGTTTATACTGTACGCAGAAATTAGGTCTTCCTGTTCTGCAGGGTCCTGCCCAATCTAGTTAACAGCATGTGCCTTGGGGGCTGGGAGCAATCTCATCACTCAGTCATGCCCTTCAGACACTGACAGACCTTTTCAGGAGTGCGGCCTTAACAGAAATTAAAGAAAAAGGATGGATCACAGATTAATAATTAGTCATTCATATAATAATAAAATATGAATTTCTCTCAGGGTCAAGGTACAGTGTGTCTGACTATGGCTGATAGACCAGCATGAGCTCAGAAAGCTCTATTATATGACAAGCACAAATAGTCCATATGACCATTTGGAGTGGAGCTGTCTCTAAATTTGTCCCTCTCACATTTCTTTTCTTTTCTTTTTTGGTGAGGTGATCGGGGTTAAGTGACTTGCCCCGGGTCACACAGTTGGTAAATGTTATATGTCTGAGGCTGGATTTGAACTCAGGTCCTCCTGACTCCAAGGCCAGAGCTCTATTCACTGCACCACCTAACTGCCCCTCACATTTCTTTTGAGCTACAGATATTATGTGTGGCACAGTGGATAGAGTGCCAGGCCTAGAATCAAGAGGACCTGAATTCAAATTTGACCTCAGACACTTATTGTATGACCCTGGGCAAGTCACTTAACCCTGTTTGCCTCAATTTTCTTATCTGTAAAATGAGTTACCCATCTTTGCAGGGCAAGGAATGTGTTTTATTGATGTCTGTTATGTTCTGTATTACCTTGCGTGGTAGGTGCTTAATAAGTGGTGCTCACTTTGCAATCAAGGTTTAGCCATAGAACTACCTCCTGCAAGCACTGGAGTTTTCTCTGATTGCGTACTCTGACCTGTCCATCTTTGGAGCTCTTCCAGTATTTATGATCAGTGCCACACATTTCAGCACTTGGTTCTGGCCAAGCTAGCGCTTTATTGAAAACTCTCTCTTATTTGCCTATTATTTAATGTTTGAAAGTTCAGAGATCATTCAAGCAAGGAAGCAGAAAGAGGCATCTAAAATATCTATGTAAGGCAAAGAAAATAGGATAAAAGTAGGTAATTAGATAAAAATCTTGCAGGTAATTAAATTTCTGTTTAAAACCTTTATGCCTAGGACATCTGAGGGCAGCTTCTGTTTGCATTAGGGCTTGGCAAGATTCTACTAATTGACAATCAAAGGCAGATTAGTGAGCAAATATCAGAAAAGACAGGAAACTTCCCATAAATAACATCCTGACTTAGGAACCAGCACAGGCTGAACAGGTAAGACAAGCAATTGGCCTCAGCAATTGCCCTTAACAGTTAGCAAAGGGCCATACCAACAGGAATGGGCAAAGATACAGCATATTGCTTCCATCAAGTCCAGAGGACAAGTGGAATTCTCCTCCTTGTAGGATTCTACGGCGAATAGAATGTGCCTAGGAAAGCACTCACTGGTTTGATTTCCCAACAATGTCATGTGACAGCTATGTATCTACAAAGAGCTTTTAGGTGTCGCTCCTCAAGAGCTGGGTGAAATAAAGGGCTGGTCTAATAATGCCTCTCTCCTTGACAACTAAGTGTTCCTTGAAATATTGGTGTAAAAGGTATGCTGGAAGCAGCTCAAAGCAGCTTGAGAATTGTTAAATTCTTGGCATGAGCCTTTACAATTCTGAAATCGACAATGCTACAAATCAAGGATTGGTTTATTATTTTGTTGATTGTCTAGACTTAAGACAGTGTTAATAACAGGAGGACCCAAGTTCAAATCTGGCCTCAGATATTTGACACTTACTATCTGTGTGACCCTGGGCAAGTCACTTAACCCCAACTGGCTCATCAAAAAGCAAAAAAAAAAAAGTGTTAATAATACGGATTCAACTTTAAAAAATTATGTGCATTCTCTCCTGCCCCTCAACTCCCTCCCACTTTGTTAATGCTTTCCCAGCAAATGCTAGTATTGCTCTATTAACATTGCTTGAACACTCAAGGAGTATAGTAGAAGGCTCAAGAAATGAAGTTATTATCACTCAAGAGTTGTGGAAACTATAGGCTAATAATAACAATAACAACAACAACAACAACAACATTTATATAACACTAAGGATGGCAAAATTCTTTATATCCATGATCTCATTTGAGCTTTAATACCCTCGGTAATGGTGCTTCAAGAAGGAAACAAAAAAAATTAATGTGAAGAGGTAGAGAAGATTAATGGCCAAGGTCAGCAAATTGGAGGGGAGAAGAGTCTGATATAGAGAGGATGGGAAGAAGGGCCACTGAACGGTGAATGTTTCAAGATGAGTAATAGGTCTTTCTTTGGAGGGGGTGATAGGGTTGGAATTTCTCAGAAGAAAACAGTTTCTTGTGCTCCAAGGAATCATGATGTGAATCCATGATGCCATCATGATAGAGGTCAAAGGAGGGGAAAGGAGAAAGAAGAGATGGTTGGTTGTGGGTTGTGATTCTCTCATAAAGGCTTCCAGGGCAGGCATTACCAAAAGAGCACTCCACCATCTTCCCTGAGGTATCTCTCTAGTGACACATAACATGCTGAAATTTTCCAAACCTGATCATTATTACTCATTCATGATAAAGCAAACAAATGGTACCTTAAAAGGAACCTCAAAAGAGGTAATAAGAATTATGGAAATTGAAGACCTTAGGGTCAAAGGTAGTATTTTCATCACAACTGCCAGCTGAAGATAGTAGATTCAGTGACAAAAGATGATCAGAGGGGAGACTAGTAGGGATGTTATTTGAGAATTGAATTTGGATTCCTGGGACACAGCTTGAAATGTCAATTAATCGACAAGTATTTATTAAATACATGCTATGTGCTAAACATTATGCCAGGCCCCTGGGGATACAAAGAAGTTTAAGAGTACCTGTCATCAAAGAGCTTACATTATATCAGGGGAGTTGTGTACACACACACACACACACACACACACACACACACATAGGGTTAGCTCAACAGAAATGTGAGATGCACAAATTTAGAGACAGCTCCACACCAAATGGTCATGTAGACTATTTCTGCACAACCTGTAATAGAGTCTTCTGAGCTCGTGTTGGTCTGATCAGCCAGTTGGACACACTGTACCTTGACCCTGAGAGAAATTCATATTTTACTGTTATATGAATGATTAATTATTAATTTGTGATCCATCCTTTTTCTTTAATTTCTGTTAAGGTCCAACTCCTGAAAAGGTCAGTCAGTCTCTAAAGGGCATGGCTGAGTGATGAGATTTCTCCTAGCTCCCAAGGCACACGCTATTAACTAGATTGGGCTGGACCCCACAGAACAGGGAGACCTAATTTCTACCTAGAGTATAAACAGAATCAAGTCTGGTTGAGCCTTTGGCTGGGAGAAGAACCCCTTGTCCTTGATCCCCTCCATTAGAGTTTAGGACAACCCTAAAGGAGAAAACTAGCAAGAATGGTCTGGATGGAATATAAAACTTGAGTCCGCTAGGTCTCATGATCAAGTCATGTTCTTAGCAGGAGGAACTGAAGACTTTTAGCCCATCTCCTTACTAAACGTCCACCAGTCGGGGTTGAGTTTCACTTGTCAGGGGAGTTTATGGCCATTGGAACAAAGTGTTCTTATCCACCCACTCTGGTGGAGGTTGTTTTCACATGCTTGGAGTAGATACCCCATCCCATCCCCCAACTCACCAATGGATTTGAGCCCCATCAGTTACGCTCAACCTGGTTTAGCCCATCTACTGACATGGTTTACCGAGGTGTGACCACTATGCATGCCACAGGTTCTTGGAGTCACAGGTGAAAGTTGAGTGCCAGGTAGACACCAAAGGTAGATGAGCAAGCTTTCAGGTCAGAGGTGCTGGTCCTCCTTGAATACCCTATACAACCCCGGCAGCAGAAAGGAAGAAACAGCATGAGCAAAGGGAGATGGGCAGGAGGAAGTTGAAGAGACCAAATTAGACTGAGAGCAAAGTACATATGGGAAATGATGATCTCTGCCAGGTTCTATAGTCAGTCACCAAGCATTGATGTACCTATAATGTTCCAAGTACTCTGCTAGGTTCTGGGGATATGGAAAAAGTCAAAACATCCCTCATCAAAGAAAATTGCATCTAGCCGGTGGAGACAACCTGTCTATTTATATATAGGGGACTAGACCAAATAGATGCAAGCTGAATGAGATGGGGTTGGGGAGGGGCACTAGTAGTTGGGGAAATTAGCAAAAGTCTCCTGTACAAGGTAGGCTTGAGTTGAAGGAAAATGAGCATTTTAAATATGGGGGATAATCAGTGCAGGCAAGAGATGTAATGCTGTGTACTGGGAACAGCAAGGTCATTTTGGCTGGAATGCAAGTGTACATGGAGGGGTACGATGTGATTAGGGTAGAAATACAGTTTGAGCCCAGCTTGTAAAGTATTTTTTTACATACCAAAAAGGTGTGTGGGGGGGAGTTATATTTGCTCCTGAAATCAATAAGGAGCTATTCAAGTTTATTGAGTGGAGGAGTAATATAGACTTTCATTTAGTAAAATCACTTTAGCAGCTCTGTGGAAGATGAATTGGAGTGGGGAAAGACTTGGGACAAGAAACCATTTCACAAGGCACTGAAATCGTCCAGGTAAGAGAAGATGTGGGTCTGAATTAAGGTATTAATTGTGTAAGTAGAAAAATTATGATGGATGGGAAAGATATTATAAAGTTAGAAAGGACAAGATCTGACCTGAGGCACTGACTATGATGGAATCCTCAGATGTAAGATTTCCGGTGTTCTGTGTGTGAACTCTAACCACAGGAATTGAACCTTTCCCCAAAGCTGCAATCATTTGTTCACTAATGAGACAGCTCTGTTCTCTTGTGTTAAATGCAGGATTTTGGAGAAGATGATTCCCTCTACATTACCAAGGTGACAACTATTCACATGGGCAATTACACCTGCCATGCCTACGGCTATGAGGACCTGTACCAGACTCACGTCCTTCAGGTGAATGGTTAGTAAATGGTACACCTGCCGTCCTTGCCCCACTGACAGTCTTCCTCTAGGCAATGCTATATGTCACTCTTGTTATACGTTACATGTGCACATACTCATGGATCCACTCATCTGAGCATACACACGCACACACTCCAAAATATGGAAATTACCCCTTTTCACTCAAATGGAAAGAAAACCCGAGTTCTTAAGACTTTGCTTCTCATATACCTTGTAAGACAAAAAATTATAACTGATCATTTATTTATACTATAAAAATAATAAGTTTCCCATCAGTCTACAGTCCTCCCCTCAAATTATGCCGCTCCTCATGGGTAATTGCATAGGTGAGACAGGAGTGAAGGTGGCATCGTATTGTCCCTTATTTGGTTGGCCCTTGTCGTGTACATACTTGAATGTAACAGGTTTTGGCACCAATGAAGAGAACGAAGGAAATGTTAGAATAACGATCTGTGGATCTAAAGCAGCATCTAAAAAAGGCCCCACCACCTTCTTTGCTAGCTAGAAACAACGATGCAAGTATCAAACACATTTGTTTTTCAGACAGCTTTTCCTCAGGCAAGGTCTTAGAAGTAAGAACCTGTGTGTGTCTCTGCCAACCCAAGGCCATTTCTTCTACCCCTCATTTCCTAGCTGGAAGCTCCACTAGCATGTCCATGAGCTGCCTGGGCTTTAACAGAGTTTAGGGAGCAAGCTAAGCAGGTTGCAAAGATTTTAACACATTCATGACCATACTAGCACTATTTCTTTACCTGGAAGAAGTGTACAATACCAGATGGCTGCCTGAGATCTGAAAAAAGTTAGTTCCTCTTCCCTCTAACCCAAATATGGCCATGTTTTCCTCCTAGCATTGAGATTCAGTTGCCTCACATTATCCTTCCTCACCAAAATAAATAAAATAATAATTAATAATAAGAATAATACCTTTATTTGTTTCTAAGAATGCTCAACCCTTTTCTGACAGTACAATCAGTCCACCTAAAGATAGACACCAAGGCAAACTTGAACTTATTGACCAACTGAAAATGGTGCATGGTTATACCCCTAACCTGGGAGTCATTTGACCTGGATTCTGGTCCCAGCGCTGCCACTAACTAAATGTTTGACCTTGGATAAGTTCCTTTATCTCTCTCACACCCTGCTTATCTGTCTATAAAACATCGTGGTTGCATTGAGGTCAGCATCCTGGCTTTGTATTCAGAAGACTGTGCTTCAAGTCATAACTCTACTGCTTCCTACTTGAAGAATGATGTCTTTGGACCTCATCTATAAAAAGAATTGGTTGTACTAACTAGTCTGTGTTGGGAAATTTCTCAGCCTTGGTTCCTGGAGAATCCAGTAAGAATTTTGCCCATCAGTGGGTCAGAAGACAAGAGATCAGATAAAGTGAGGAGCTAAACAGAAAGGAAAAACAATTTATTAGTACACTAAGGAAGAGTGATTACCAGTAGCAGCTTTAGTTTCTAATGTTTCATCCTTGGTTTATATGGCTTTTTAGATCCACTTCGAGAACACAGCCAATCACGCTGTAGTAGCAACATGTTGTGATAATTTAAGACAGGAAAGTGACATCTTTTAGAGGGAAGAGTAAGTAGAAAGGGGAACCCAAAGAGAGGGAGTGTTTTGTGGGAAAACATTTGATATGCAGCTGGAAGGATTTATTATTTATCATGTGGGGCACATTTACACTCCCTGTTCAAGAGGATAGGAAATAGTAGTTAACTGGATTTTTTTTTTACAATTGTTATAGGTGTCCATTTGTACTATGAGATCAGGGACCACACTGGTGACAAAGAAAGCAAATTGTACTTCTACCTCCTACCTTCTATCTATGAACACTAAATGATTTTTATAGTAGCGGATAAGGATAAGCACATACATATACAGGTATACGTATGTGTGTCTGTATATGTATACATGCATATGTGTGTATCTATAGATTAATAAGTAAATACTAACTATATTCAAAATAAGTACAAAGTAATTGGTTTTGGCAGGGGACAAGTGGGCAATAAAGGCTATGCAGAGGATGTGACTTCGGGAGAACTTTGAAGGAAACAAAGCATTCTAATAGGCGTAGGTGAGATAGCCATACCTTTAAGAAATAAGCGATAACCAGTATGAAGGCCAATGACTTAAATTAAAGATAGGAGATGAAGTATCGCATGTAAAAATAGCAAGAAGGTCAGTTTGTTGAAATTATAGAATGTGAGAAGAGGGGTAATGTATAATGTTGAAATGGTGGGAAGAGCTGTTCAATGGAGCCATGCTATGTGACAATTGTATGAAAGAAACTAGGGATATGTAACCTGGATAATAGAAGTGTTAGGAGGAGATGTAGTAGCTGACTGCAACTGTTTGACGGGCTGGCACGTAGATGGATTAGGTTTGCTTTATTTGAGGCCACAGTTCAGAATGAGGAGCAATGAAAGTAAGCCACAGAAGGAAAGATCTAGACTTCATAGGAAGGATAACCTTCCTAACAATTAGAGATATCTAAAAGTGAAATGGGCTGCTATAAGAGGTGGTGAATTGCCCATTACTGGATATCTTTAAGCAGAGAAGGGATGACTACTTGTCTGAGATGTTGTGGAAGGGTCTTCTGTTTAGGTTTGGGAAAAGTTTCCATGATTCTAAATGATCTTAAAATAAATCTACAAAAATTAAGCTATAATAGTGGATGAGGCTTTTTGCTATGCCAGATCTTTGTATAACTTACTGTGTCTTATTTCTTCCTTATCTCTTAGGTCCTTTCCACTTCCAAATCCTATGAAACGTGGTAGTGGACAGGGGCACAGTGGCTCTGAGTACTCTGAATTCCCTGGGGGCATCCCAATATATTTCAAACTTTAAGGGGATACTTTAACTATTAACCCTTGGTAACATTTACAATGGGGTCTTTTAAGTATACGATAACAGGAAGGGTCCTGAACTTTCCTAGATTCAAACCCAAAATCTATTCATAAATATTGTTTAATTCCCTGACTTGCCAATCTGGGAAGCATCAACTCTAAGATGATCACTTTCTACATCCTCTAATTCTTCTTAGGACTGAATTCCATGTATCACATTGGAAAATGAATTATTTCCTAGGGTCATCGTAGCAAGTAGTGTCACTCCCATCTAGTTAATGGAGAAACTGAGGCTTGTTGATTAAATGGTCTTCCTAAGACCACATTCAGACAAACTGTGTAACTTGATCAAATTTTCACTTAACCTTCAATGGTCTCATTTTCTTTTCTCTGTTAAATAAAGGATTTTGACCTGATGACCTTTAAGGTCCCTGTGAGCACTGGAATCCATCATAATGACTACAATTCACTGTGCACCAGCTTAGTGTTAGGCACTGAATATAATTTCTCACTAAGCATCATGTACTATGATAGGTCAACGAAGACAGAAATCATCTTGGACAGGAGTAAGTAGCAAACCCTACAAGGAGGGAGAAGGATTTGAATGAATAGAGAGTAGAGAAAAGGGCATTCCTGTTGGTGGAACAGTACGAATAAGGTATAGAGGCCAAAATCAGAATAGCATGATATGGAAAGGACTGGGTTGGCTCAAGCATTAATTTAATGAGAAGAAATAGTGGGACGTAAATTGGATATTCTTAACTGAGAGTTTAGGAAAACACCTCCTTTGGGAAAGGTTTTAGTTTGATGATGATACACAAGAGTTCAGAGTCACTGGAATGTAAAAGGGTATGGCCAGGTTGGAGAAGTTCATCACTGAGTTGAGGATGCTGCTCCTCTTCCCAACAGAGGTTGGAAACTTTACTGAAGACAAGCGAAATATGAGATGCGTGGCATATGGTCAGATGGGAGGCCCCACTTCACAACTCTTTATCCCTCCAAAGGCTGGAGATTAAGTAGGAAAGGGGCACAGCTAGAGATTGAAGTTAGAAGAAAGAAGTCCCATTTACCACCAACTTTCCTCTTCCTGTTCCCTCAATGGACATGAGCAGAAGGAGATGGAAGGCAGGAAGTCAAAGGGAGAGTTGATCTTTTTATTGAAGGTTCCCCACATCCAGGTTAAGAAATTGGACTGGACTTGACTTCAGCAACTTCCTCATTTCAGAAAAAGGAGAGAATTTTCCATGTGTGTGGAGGATAGGAGACTCTATGTCTATGAGATTTCAAAATAAGAATGAGACTATAAATCTAATTTCACGTCCAAATTCTGTTGCTGACGTATTTTCTCTTTTGTTTGTTTTTTGCTGTTTTTGCTAGGCAATTGGGGTCAAGTGACCTGCCCAGGGTCACACAGCCAGCAATTGTTGTGTGTTGAGTGCCTGAAACTGGATCTGAACCCAGATCCTCCTGACTTCAAGGCCAGAGCTCTATCCATGACGTATTTTCTAAAAATACTTTGACACAATTTCTCTTGCATTGGGAAGCTTTGGCAAAGATAAAATAGCATTTTTAGCTTAAAAAAAAAAAAGAAAGAAAGAGGGGCAGCTAGGTGGCACAGTGGATAGAGTCAGGAGGACCTGAGTTCAAATCTGGGCTCAGACACATAACACTTACTAGCTGTGTGATCCTGGGCAAGTCACTTAACCCCATGTCCTAGCCAAAAAAAAAAGAAAGAAAGAAAGAAACTGGGCTGGCAGCAAGAAGTGGAATTGGTCTTCTCACCCAAGGAGGCTGAAGGAAATGGTGTACTCCCTGCGTAGAGGGAAGTCCTTTGTGGCAGGTAGAAGACACCCAGCAAGGACCCTTGCAGAGTTCCCATAAGGTATATGCCGTGCCCAGGAAGAAATGGAAAGCACATGGCACTGGCTCAGTCTGAGGAGCTATGGCTCCTCTTCTCACCTGAGGGATCTGGCAATGAGGGCCCAGCCAGTCACAGCAAAGTGATGATAGCGCATCTTTATTAATGTCATTTTGCTTGATAAAACCTAGGAACTTTCTTTGCTGGATCTTCAGTAGATATAGCTACTGAGAAGAGGGAGGGGCAGCTATAGCCCATGTAAAGGCAGTTGATAGGTTACATCCTCCA